TAATGATAAAATATATTCTTCATGAATAATCCTTTGAAAATAATTATATTAAAATCATAAATAAAACAAAATTTATATGGTATACAACACTTCACATGCGACTACAATATTTTTTTTAATGTCTTTTGGTTTTTTTTTTAGGTCATCATATAGTTCCCAATTACGTCCTTTTCTTTTACAATAAGCAGTATAATGTCCAATTGAATTTTTAAGCTGGCTTTTTCCTTGATGATAATTTAAAATCCCTCTTAAAATATAGGTTGTAGATTTATGGAATATAGTTGCAGGAATATCTTTTAATTTAACCTGTACATGTGGTGCAGTCTCACTACTTTGTTCCATGTTTTCTCCTGAAAGTATAGAAATCAAGTTAATTTTTTGCCATAAAAAATAATTTAAAATTTACATACCACTCCAAAACAAAATTTTTATCAGTAAATATAATGGCGATACTTCAAACTTTGTTCTTCTTTGACTGTTGCATTGAAATTTTTTCATCTTATTCATATGATTACACACTGTTTGTTCACCTTGAAATTGATTATTAATAATTTTTTGCAGATCACTAATTATGCAATTTGTAGTGTTATATGTTATAATGTAGATTGGTTGATATGTTTCTTGAAACTTTTCGCATTTTTCATTAAAACAACTACTTTTTTCTATAATAGATGGAAACTCTTTAAACATAGCCTTGCAAATAGTTTTAGGTGTAGTTTCACATCTCACAAAAAAAAAATTATACTCAAGGGTTTCTAATACTGGATTAAGTAAGAAAATAATTAATTATGCCCTATCTGTATATGTGTGTGCCGTAATTCCCTTTGAAACCAACTGAGATATAAAATCAATATATTTTGTTTTATTTTTTATAAGTCCTTCTGAAAATAACTCACTGTCACAAAAAGCTACCATTATCATTGATGCTATAGAATCAAATGCACACGTGTTGCTTAGTACTATGTTTGAGTTTAAACTTTTAATTTTACAACTTTTGAGTTCTTCTGCTCTGGATCAATTTTTCAACAAAGGTAAAATACGATAGTTCCACGAATCATTAATGTTAACATATCGTAAATGTGGATTGGGAAGAAGATATGAACTACTTTTAATTTGATTTTTACTTTTTCGGTTCCATTCATCCGTTGCTTTGTCTTCGATAAACTTTTCATGACCCTCAAAGCAGTTATAACAGATACGAATTTCATCGTCATCTTGCTGGTGTGCAGAGCATTCTGGAAGTGCATGGACTGATTTCGTACATATCGAACATTTATGAGCACCACTACTTGAAGGTAAAGATCCAGATTTACACAATGGACATACTAAATTTCGTAAGCTATTGGTGATATTATTCTGTTTCTCTATGTCGATGTTCTTTATTTCTGGACCGCATAAATTATTTATTTGATCTAAATTATCGGCCTGTTCAGTTATTTGATTTTCTTTATTAGTATCTGACTGTTGAGTATAGTGTAATAACGACGCTCCTTTTAAAGAAGATATATGGTTTTCTAAGAATACTTCTATATCTGTAGGTAAAGAAATATGCTTTAGCGTTACATTTTTAAGTTTATTAAAACTAGACTCGATTGCTGCAGAGCTTGAAACACTTTCTCCATATCCAAAAAACGGTACCATTATACCAGACCATAGTGGTAGAAATTTCATTATCTCAACTAAATGAGGCACTATTTTTGGAGCATATAACAGATTTATACCTACCCCATCTTGTATAATTTTTTTACTTTCATCTAATACTTTTTCTACCCAAGATTGAAAGGGATTCATATCATTAAGATTTTCAAGTTCGTCATCGTATTCATGTTCTTCAACACATGTGTTGTCTTCAGTGTTTACATAATCAATTATTGTATCAATTTGCTGATCGAGTTGTACGATACCTGTTGAAACAGTATTAATTAACCTCATATAATGGTTTTGACACGATGTTTCAATGTTAGTATTTTGTTGAACTCCATTTGTTTCGTTGGTAATAGTAATAAACAAGGAAAGTAACAGTGAGTAAACGTCTTCAAAATTTTGACATTTTAGTATACAGTCAATTGTTCTAAGAATAATTTCTCTGACTCTTCTATTCAACAACTTCAAATTAGGCCATTGGCTAACTAATTTCATAAAATGTTTTACATCTAGTTTCACATAACACTGAGAATGCCAACAAGAGTCTTTGAGTAACTTGTTAGTAAGTATGTCTGCACATGCGTGTATATAGCTGTTTAATAACGAATATTGTGTAAATGTTCTTACTATTGCAGAAAGAAGAGCCAATGATTGGGCACACACTACTTTTTTAGGCTTTGGAACATTGCAGCTCATCCAACTAGCTAGCCAGTTAGAAATACATATGGTATTGTGCCTGTCACTTAACATATTTGTTATTGTAAAGCTATGACATTTTTGTTCATCGTGAACGATTGCTTCATATAAAAATATTGTATTTGTTTTATCTAAGCCTAATTTTATAAACTTTTTTACAATTGGTCCTGTTGCATCAATGATTATTTGAGGATATTTAACATTACTATAATATTTCCGATACAAATGAATTTGTTCAGCATTACTGTAATGAACAAAAAATGGATCATATTCTACTTCTCTTATAATGTCTTTAAATTCATCTTCTTTTTTCATTAAAGCGATTGCAGTGAGAGTATCGTCATTTCTTTTTTCAGAAGCACGTTATCGAGATTTAAGAAGCCTAAGAGCATTTCCAGTGGGGATAATTGATGGGTCGTGATCACCTAAATTAAAAATATAAAACAAAAATATACTTTTTTTTTCCTTCTAATAATATATTATAATTATATCTCCCAATTATCAAAAAAAAAAAAAAAATCAGCCCGATAACTTAATTTATGTTATGTTATCCTAGAACAAAAAATTCACAGTTTTCACTCAAAATATTGGAAAAACTACCGAGTATTTCAAAAAATATGTTATTAAAAGTACCAACTAATTAAGAATAAATTATAAACAATTAAAAACTGAATGTAACAATAAGACCAAATTTACTTATGAAATGGTAGTTTCATACATCATTATATATAAAATTGTAAAACTGTACACGATACACTAATAAACAAAAATAAAAATAATTTTATGGGCTTACCTATTTTTATAAGACGTACAGCTTCCATTTCTCTAAATGATTCACTCGAATGACTATCATTTATTATAGCTGAAATAGCTTTATTTTGTACAGAACCATACATTCGGCGTTTTTTTGGTTTTATGTAATTCGTCAAAATTTCCTGTGTATGAGCATTGCATAAGCACTCTGTAAAACACAAAATATCTCTAAAATCACTTTTCTTAAAACTAAAATGAAATTATAATATTATTAGAATATTAGTTATGATTTATTATAACATTGAAAAACATGAGTTTAGTAGAATGTATTTGTACTTTAAGTTTACCTTGAAATAGCTAAAGGTTTTTCATATACAATGCCTTTAAAATACGAATCACAACCAGTACATTTACCGACAATTTTAATATAAAAATTACCACTTGGATACGCTTTTGCCTTTCGAAAAGAAAGACAACAAGGTAATCCGGTGTGTTCCTAAAAATGTTCTGAGACAATAGGGGTCCACTCATTTTTTGGCAGTACATAATACATTCTTGAACTCTTAGAATTATTTTTACTGTTATTTCTATAGTAAACTTCTTCCGGTTGTATTGTCTGCCATTCTTCAGGTGAAAACGTGATAACCAAATTCTTTTCTAGGTAATATATCTGAATTTTGACTGCTACAATCACTAGTATCATCTAAAATGTATAACAATTAAATTTTAAAAATGAGTAGTTAATGTTAAATTATTAAAAAGTAAATAAATTGTATTATTACTTACTATCATCTAAAAATTGATTTTTTTCAGTGTTTAGATTATGCTCAACTTCATTTTTAAGTATTCCAAATCCTAATTTTTCCTTGATACCATGGGTACCTCGATGTACGAATGTGTGTATTGCGTTTCCACTCATATGTCCGTTTAAATAACAGCTAATTTCATACCATACCGGATTAGTTTTTACAACTACCTCTAAAAAAAAAAAAAAAAAAATACAAACTTTTAATTATAATTGCTTTTTACAGAAGTAATTATTAATTTAATGTTTAATATGACCTAGCCAATACTTTAATAAAAATTAGAATTATTTAAGTTAACCCATCAGCGCCGAGCGTCACCATATGGGTACACCTGTATTGCTATTTTTACAACATGATTGGGGAAATCCTTATAGATATATTTCATGTATTATTATTACATCAGATTTTATGTTATCTGCACTTAATTTTGGTATTATGTTTAACAGTTTTTTTCGTAAACAGTGTCTATTGACGGTGTATTATTTCAACCACAGTTTTAAAATGAGCGATTTTTTTGATTTTTCCGGTATTCGGCTACAGTAAGTATAAACTATTATAATTAATGAATGGGTGATACATTATTTGCATCTTATATATTCTTAGAAACATTTTTCTGATCATTTTTTTCCGATTTGTTATTTCTACTATGAGTTATGCTTTGTTTAGTATGGTGTCACCATATGGACCCATTCGTCTTATATGTTATACAATAATTGATGTTTTATATATTATTTTTCCAGAGACGGTCTTACAGTCGAAGATGCTTTGAATATTTTAGATAATTTTGACGATTTAGGTGCAGCAAATATATACATTGAACCTCCTGATCCTAATGAAATAACCGATGAAGATTCTGGTGACGAAGATGGAGGATTTGTTGATAATTTATGTGGCTGGCAATTACAAACATCTGCGGAAATCGAGCTCACAAATGGACAACGAGTGGGCGGTTTTTTAATAAATGATGAAGAATCTATTGCTGACCCTCAGTTCACACATTAAGAATTTACATTTCCAACTATTGAACAGCCACAATGGACTTGAGGTAATCTAGAATTCAATGGTACTTTTCCAAAACCTAATTATTCGTTTTATTCTGGAATGTCACCCACTCATATTTTTGAGCTATTTTTTGATGACGAAGTAATTAAGTTGCTCATAACTGAATCATTGAATTATGCAGTTTATAGAAGTTTTACAAATACTAATTTGTCTACAGACGAAATAAAATGTTTTATTGGTATATTGATTTTGTCTGGCTATAATACATTGCCTGGACGTCGCTTTTATTGGGATAGTTCACCTGATATGCAAAATATAATTGTACGGGATTGTATGCGCCGCGATAGATTTGAAGAAATTTGTCGTATACTGCATTGTGCAGATAACTCTAATATAAACTCTGATAAATACTATAAGTTAAAGCCTTTAAAAAATCGCTTTTTAAAACACTTTGTTCCTGAACAAGAACTAAATTATGACGAGAGCATGATTAAATATTTTGACGGCATTCTTGTAAGCAGTTCATCAGAGGAAAGCCAATACGGTTTGGATTTAAAGAATGGTGTATAAATACAGCTTCAGGTTACCTTGTTAATTTTGATATTTATCAGGGTAATAATCCGAATACAACCCCTGAAATTCAATTATACTTTGGCAAATGCACTGCTCCGTTTTACGAAATGCTGAAAGAATTTCCAACCGAAAAAATTAATTTACCACATAAATTATTTTTTGATAATTTATTTACAAGCCAAACACTTTCACGTTTTTTGTCGGCAAATGGTTACAATGGTACGGGGACGATACGTATTAATCGATTACCAAAAAATATAAAACTTACGGAAAAAACAGCTTGGAAAAAAAAGATAGAGGTACTTTTGAATATATATTGGACAAAAATAATGGAATTCATTATTCAAGATGGTTAGACAATTCTGTCATAACAGTAGCTTCTTCATCTGTTGGAAGTATTCCTAAATCAGGAGTCAAACGATTTTCCAGAAAAGAAAAAAAAACCATAATTGTTCAGCGACCTCTTTGTATAGGTCAATATAATCAATTTATGGGTGGTACTGACTTAATAGACGAGAATGTAAATAGGTATAGAATTGGTTTGTGTAGAAAGAAATGGTGGTGGTGTTTGTTAACTTGGTTTATCGATGTATCAATACAAAATGCTTGGATTCTTCACAAAAAATCTGGTGGAAATCTATCTCAACTTGAATTTCAGACGTGATATCGTGAAAATATATTTGATTACCTACAGAAATTTGCCAAAACGATCAGGACCTTCAGCTAAAATTCCTGATGCTGTACGGTATGATGGGAGAGATCATTTAATAATACCAGTTGCCAATGGTATGAGGAGAAGATGTGGGGGCCGACAACTGTACGTCCAAAGGATGTACACAGTGTTTAAAATGCAATGTTGGATTATGTGTAATGTGCTTTGCTTCATATTATAGTAAATAATATTAAAATTAATGATAAATGTTTTATTTTAATATTTTATTGCGCTATGTATGTATATAAATAAGATATTGCTTTTATTAAAATAAAAACGAATTTGGTGAAAAAAATAAAATAGCTAGGTATTATTTCAAAACAATATTTTAATGAAAAAAAAAACTGGGTAATAGCTGAGTGTACCCATATGGTGACACGCTAAATCTCATTCAACTTTTGCGTTTATCGTTATTCATAATTAAAATAATTGTAAATTAATTATTTCATTTAATGATATACTATATAAATACGATTAGCGTTATATTTTATTTGATGATATATTATATATTTTGTTAATCGTTTTGTTTTGTGTTATTTAATTATTTATATTTATCGTTTAACGATATAATTACGTTTACAAATTTCAATCGTTTTTTATCAAGTATAACGTTATAATCATAACGTTTGCAAGCCCTGGTAGGTATTTTGTACATGCGCAACGTAACTTCAATTTTTTTAAATGGCAACCTCTATTATGAATATAATTTACGAACTAATCAATTTTTTTCAAGAAATTTTGATCTATCAACTTATATAGTAAACTCAAAAAATTAACACATATTTTCAGAAAATAAAATTCTAAATTTATATATATTTTTTTTATAATACTATACATTTGTAAAATTTAATTTACAAATATTATATTATATTATATTATAAATGTATAAATAGTTAATAATTTATTACTTTAATAATAAATGTATAATGTGTCATATGCTACTATTAGAACACATAAATACGTACCTAAAACTAATAACTAGCTCTAATTTCACAAATTTTTGGTTTACAATACAAGTTGATTGATCAAAATACCTTAAAAAAATTGATAAATTTGTAAATTATATTCATAAAAGGGGTTGACATTTAAAAAAAAATTGAAGTTGTGTTGTGCATGCGTAAAATACATGAATTAAAAAAATTGTAAGTTATAGGAATTTATAATCTATTAATCTAGTTCAACGTCTCATAAATAGAATTAAAAAATATTTAAAAGGTATCTTCTTATAATATAAAACGAGGAATAGTTGCTACACGGGCCGATAGGTTGAGTGTCCCGACCAATCGAAAAATTAAAATTTTTTTTTCCAGTCGTTATTCGAGATATCCCGCCGTCATCGTTATCGTTATCTCTCGCCGTCGTCATTATCGGTCGTTATTACTTAATAGTTAATACTTATTATTTATTATTATTGTTTTTATATATCGTTTTTTCCGCTTTTCGTCCGGTTTTCCGGCCTTTCGAGACCTCTTTTCGTCGCGTTTTCGACGCTATATTCCAGAGCGGGTCTTTTTCGTCTCCGAATTCCGTTCGCAGCCGTCGCGTCCGGAAAACGCGTACTCGCGGCGCATTCTCCGGTCGGTCGTCGTATCGTCACTACTCACTACTGTTTTTTTTTTTACGATACGATAAATCATTTATTCGTATCGAATACGTGTCATTTTGTTTTCGGTGTCTCCACCCTCGGACGCCTCTGCGACCTCATCGGTACTGTCTCGACAGCGACGAAATACGATTTATTTTATGTGTATAAAAAAAAAACGCGCGTCGGGTTTAACAGATCCTTATTTGTATTATACAAAAACATCGCAAAATCGTTGCTCTTCAGTCGTTGTAATGCCTTTAATCGCATACATTTGGGGCGATATCGTGATATGTGTCTGTGATAATAAACTCGGTACGTCATTAAGACGTATACGATTAAATAATGTAGAGCAATACGTCGGAAACACTCTAAACGACAATAAACATGCGATTTACGGTTTCGTACGGTTACCTATTTTCGTTAAGAGGACGTCGCACCGGCATTTTTCAGTATTAAAAACACGCTTGCGTTGATTCAAAATTACTTGTTCCTGAGTGGTTTTAGAGCTAAGACACCTATTATAAAAATAGAATAAAACAATATTTTGAAGGGCATCTCATCGGGGTTTTATAAAATAATTAGTTTAAAAAAAGATACAGCCATTTAAAAAATCAAAAATAAAAGTTTTTTATAAATGCAATATGAAACAGTGTAGTTAACATAATGAAAATACCCGATGAGATGCTCTCGTAAATATTGTAGGCTTTCATTTAGATAATAGGTGTTTTTACTCTAAAATCATTGTAGAGTGGTTGATTTACAAATTTACAATCTAAGTTTTATGCCGTAAACAGACAATTTACGGCCGACTAGTGCTGATTTGTTTCTATTACGGCAGCATTCGATAACGTTCGTTACCCCCGACCCGCAAAAACTACCGCTTCAAGTTTATAACTGGTTTTTGAGAAATACTCACCGCCAGCGACAAACTATAAATAATATTGCGATTATAGGTAAAGGCGACATAACAATAATAATAATTATTTTTAATATTTTACTACGAAACCATTGGTATAATATATATAATAATATCATTGATTATTTTATATTTGTAGTATATTACATCAGACATTGTATATCTTCTTTCTTATAATATAAAACCAAAACGAGCTTCCCGAAAAATCCGCCAGAACGCGGGCACTTTAGTGTCCCGACCAATCGAAAAATTCCGTTTTTTTTCTTCCAGTCGTTGTCCCATATCTCCCCGTCGTTATCGATTCTCCAACAGCCGTCGTTATCGGTTCGGTTATCGCTCATTTGCTCATTACTCATTATTATTGTTTTTATATACCGTTTTTTCCGCTTTTCGCCCGGTTTTCCGGCCTTTCGAGACCTCTTTCCGTCGCGTTCTCGACGCTATAGCCCGGAGCGGGTCTTTTTCGTCCGGTCCGCGCGTCTCCGGATTTCGTTCGCGTCCGGAAAAAGCGTACTCGCGGCGCGTTCTCCGGTCGGTCGTCGTATCGTCAATACTGTTTATTTTTTTTACGATACGATAAATCGTTTATCCATATCGATTACGCGTTTTTTTGTTTTCGGTGTCTCCGCCCTCGGACGCCTCCGCGACCTTATCATCACGATAGCGTACGAAATACGATTATATATGTGTATATATATATAATAATAATATCATATAAAAAAGAAACGTGCGTACCGTTGTTGACGTACGTCAGATTATGTTTATTATATACAAAAAAATCGCAAAATCGTTGCTCTTCAGTCGTTGTAATGCCTTTAATCGCATACCTTTTGGGGGGGATATCGTGATATGTGTATGTGATGATAAACTCGGTACGTCGTTGAGACGTATACGATTAAAAAATGTAAACGAATACGTCGGAAACGTTCTAAACGACAATAAATATGCGATTTACGGTTTCGTGACACGCGAATCGTAAAAATTGTACGGGTCAAACGACGTATAATGTAGCATTCGTCGCATCTCTAAAACGGTTTAAGTGCTCGAGATTCGGTTACGGTTTTCAACTCAAGCGGTAGTCGATAGGTGTTAGGATAGGTCCCCTGACGTTAGGTAGGCAGGTTCGAATCCCGTACCGACGTATTCCTGGCGGGGCCCCATAAGAAACTACACGTACGAGATTTTTTGCATTTTTTTTTTCATTTAATCGATCATTATTAATTGCTATTTTCGTTTTGATATGATATTACTACTCATATAATATTTTTCAAATTTTAAAAACGATTTTTGATCTCGCACATTACATTTTATACTGCTTGATTGATGATGACAAAATATATTATATTATAATATACATTACACGAACGTTAAATTACACAATAGTATTCAATTATTCATTTTTCTAAATAGATTAAAGATAGATTATTGAATTCAATTAAACCAATTATAGTTATTGCCAACGGTCTGCACGATTCAAATGTACATTTGTGATATGCAATTTATATTATAGCCTGAGAACATTCTATTGATGACGATACAGTTGTTTCACTCAGTTTTGACGGTGAATTCACTATTTTATATGTTTGGCCTTTCAGTTCCTTACATTTGAAAGATACAGGGGAAAAACAGTAGCAAATTTTTTATCTTTTGATTTTTAAATATTTTGTCATCACAGAAAGCGCATAATATTTCTTTTCGATATCTAACCATCTATAAAATATGAAAAAAAAATATTAATTATGTATAGTTTTTTTGATTTTCAACTAGCTAACGTTCGACATGTG